AGGGCCCCATCTATAACAGAAGGAACCTTCTGGGCCCAAGTCCAACCACATCACAAGACTGGATGTCCCAGCCTGGACACCCACATGTCAAGGGCTCCATTAGCCAACGCCTTTGCCGGCTCATGTTCTGCTGTGGTAGTCGGGGCCAAACAGATGGCTTGGGATAAACAGGGGGTGTTGGCGAGTGGGGGTTAGGGTGTGACTTTGAGGGGCTACCCTCTCAGCCTCCCTCTGGGTCCTAGGGAAGGAGGAGAGTGAAGGAAGGAGCCATTGATTGGTAACTTCAAACTTGTTAGTGATATTTTTTCCATCAGTAGAACTCTTTATTTTTTAAATTAAAAAAAAAAATTTGGTACTAGAGATGCTTAACCAATGAGCTATATCCCCAGCCCTTTTTAAATATTTTATTTAGAGACAGTGTCTCACTGAGTTGCTTAGAGCCTTGCTAAGTTGTTGAGGTTGGTTTTGAACCCTCCATCCTCCTGCTGCAGTCTCCTGAGCCGCTGAGATTCCCCGCATGCACCACAGCACCAGGCAGCAGAATTCTTGTTTGAACAAACCATTATAATATATAAGGCAGAGAGAAAAAGGAACGTGCTTCCACTAAGAAAGGGCAAGAAACCCAGAGCTTCCCTCCCTCCCTGCCACGTGGCAGGCACCCCCCAGGGGGGGGGGGGGGGGGGGAGGGAAATTCTGGGTCTCAAGACAACAGAGGATCCCACTAACAACATAATAGTCTTTATACAAAACTGCGTGGGAACGCAAAACATTCTGTCTCCTCTCTGAGAGCCCCTCTGGGGGCTCCAGGGACCTGTGAGAAAACTGGGCGGCATGCCCAGCTCTAACCTGAGATACTGGCCTTATTCCACACAGCCAGGCAAGCGCAGGTGCCTCAGCCAAGGTGGAGAGAAGGGCCAAGGTGTGGGTGGGCTGCAGGAACCTGAGCAGGGCAGCAGCCTCCATGGCCTGGTCTCTGAGCTTGCAAACCTCCCTTCCAACAAGAGAGCTTGGAACTCAATCTCAGCCTCCTTCCCTCCTTCCAGCACAACTGCCTTGCTCCAAGTGGTTCCTGCGTAGTAGCAGCCTTAGTTCTGCCTACCTGTGCCCTTCCTAGCCTTAGAGAGATGTGAGAAAAGGAAAGTTTCTTTCTCCCACCCCAGGACACTCCAGTGCAAGATTTTCACCAGTCCAGATTCTGTTTCTCAGCAGAGACAACCTGTAGCACAGCTCCTATCTTCCTGGCTTCCCTGCTTGGTTTGTTTCTTCAGAGGATGTGCCCATTCTTGGCTGTGGGATGGTGAGGCTGGTGAGCGGGCAAGGAAGCAAATAAAGAGTTGGGCAATGACTTTACTCTGAACTCGATTATCTCATGGTCACATTGGGCATGAGGTGATCTCCTCCGCAGAGCTCTTTTGAGGACTAAATGAGATAATGTGTGTCAGAGCCCAACCTCTCAGGAACCCAGTTTAGAAGCAGATCCACACCAGAGAAAGGGTGTGCTTTCCTCCCTTACACAATATGTCACCACACATGAGGTATTTCCCCTCTTTGAGCTCCAGTTTTATCATCTATGAAAGGGGCATGTTAAAAAAAAATCTTTTTAAAATTAAAACAAGGGAGGCATGTTAGTATCTACCCACCACAGTTGTTGTAACAAATAGAGATTATTCACATAAAGTGCTTGATAAGGCTTTTAGCATGGGGCAAGTATTCAAAATAGGATAGTAATAGTTGCAATTACCATTACTCTTGGTCTTTTTATTGTTAACTTAGCAAGAATGGCCATGGGGTTTTGTAGTTAAGCACAAAGACTGCAGCCCAATTGTTGAGGTGTCATTTCCCATTCACCACCGAAGCTGTGGGACCTTGAGAAAGTACTACCTTCTCTGTGCTTACATCTCATTAACTGTATATTGGCATAAAAATTGTATCTACCTTATGGAACTGCTGTGATAATTAAGTTATTGCATGTGGAGTACTTTGAAGAATGCTTGCCAAACAGTAAGTGCTACAAACAAGTTTGTTGTTACTATCACTAGTAGTAATATAACTATTTGTATTATTATGATTATTAACGACTAGGCTCTGTGAAAACCTTCGTCTTGGATGGGATTAAGAGATTCACAACCCAACAAATCCACCACCCTACTAATGGTATAGCCATTCTGAAGTTTCTTTGTGACCTTGGGCAAGTTACCTCCCCTCTCTGAACTTGCTTTTATTTATCTACAAATGTCAATTATAATAGTACCCAATATAGTATTTGGAGGTTGTTAGGCTGCATTTAAGAGGGATGACCCGTGAGAATCTTCTTGCTCCTAATTAATTAGGCCCTTGTCCCAAAGCTCAGCTTACCTCCAGCTCCCTCCCACCCGGGCTCATATTCCCTCCTGCTGGGCACAGGGGGCTGCCCTGCGCCCCGCTGCCAGGCCCTATTTCTGGGGGCCGAGCAATGCCGAGGCCTTGCCAAGCTTCCCCGGGGATCAGGTTTCTGCTGACGCGGTGCCAGGCACGTCTGCTTCCAGGAACCGGCAGCCGCATTTAGCCGCGGGCCGCACATGAAAGGGCTGCAGTCGGAAACGTGACGTTGTGTCAACAGGCGAGGCAGGTCAGCCCTGGGTGAGACCATCCCGGCAGGCCCGGCGGATCACGCCCTGTCTGAGGGCAGCCAGATCCCAAGCCTCCATTCCCTGCCTCCTGCCACCTCTCCTTGGCCCTGGAGCCAGAGCTTCACAGCCCCTCACGCTCACACACACCCCTTTTAAACAGAGGTCCTCTTTGTGCCCAACGGGCAGAAGGATGGAGTGCAAGCCCTCCCCCCCCCCACCTCCCTCAGAGCGCTCTTGGATCCTGCTGAAACTGGACGAAGCAATGTCAAGGGCAAACTGGAAGGAGAGAGACAGCTGCAGAGTTAGGGGGTTTCATAAGGGCAGACTCCAGTAAGGGTATTCTGGATGGGCCATGTGTAGAACCTTAATTTTTTTTTTAAAGTTCAGGTTGCTCCACTTCCTGCCGCTGTCCCCACAGTTACTCCTTGAATCACTGGCTAGGAAAGGGGGCGGGTCACGCAAGAAGGGTTTGGGCTTGATTTCAACCCCCAGAGTTTCATCTCTCAGATAAACTTGACTGGTTTTGTGCTTTCATTAAAAAAAAAAAAAAAAAAAAGTCTAGCTGGAAAGGTCTGGCATCTCAAGGAAGCATTATTCAGGGGCTTGCAATCAGGAGACCTGCAAGTGCTGGGAGAAGGCGGGACTTAGAGAGCCATCTGCCTGCTGTAGGACACGTGAGAAAGCCTCAGAATCCTTATTTTATCTTGTCAAAAACAGGCGTGGAGAGGGTGGTGATAGACCACCAGACTGGTCTTGTTCTCTGTGGGTCCTTCTACACCACGTGGTCTGGAGTCAATTGGGAGGAAATATGTACCCTGCCTCCTGGCCCTTCAGGAGCCAGAGAAGGTGATATTTGAAGCAGACAATTCTAATAGGCAGGTGATGCCTAGAAGAGATTGACCTGGAGGCAGCTCCCCTGCAGGGTTCCAGACAACCCAAAGATTCTGGAAGATGCACCTGGGACCGCCAGCATCTGAGGGGAAAGCAAAAAATATTCGACTGGGTCATTTCCCACATCTTTTCCTATGGAATTTTTTTCTTTAATAAGAGCACTTGACTAAGGAACACCAACATTCATTCACGCAAACATACCCAAGGGGAGGAAGTCCAGGAAGGATGTAGAAAGTCATTATGGAATGTCACCTCCAACAGCAATACTACAGGATGTAGCAAATCCATTAGATCTTGCTAGGTTTGAAAAAATCAACTTACTTGGCATCAAATATTATTGCCTAATATCATCAGTTAAAATCTTTTCTCAATGCACTTACCCTGATGTTCCTGATGTTCTGACCCATGACTTCATACCTAAGTTTTCTGTCAAGTTCTAAAGATCATGACTAAAGCAGATGGGAGGGGAAAATGTATTTTTTTGCTTAACTCTAGGAAGAGGCATATGATGATTGCAAATCCCTGCCAAGGGTTAAGTTAAAAAAAAAAAAAAGAAACCTAAAAAAGAAATAAACCTAAACCAATATTTATCTATTAAATTGACTAAGCCTAATGAAATGACATCAAGATTAACTGGTTATTCCCTTCACTCAAGAGGACAACCATATCACACAACTACGTGTTTTTTTCAAAAATTCAGGAGACCTTCTTTCTCTTCCACAGGAAAAGGATTATTTTATTAAGTATTTTAAAACAACTACTTAACATTTATTCATAGATAAAAATATTTACAATTTCACACCTTCAGAAAGGCTCCAAAATATAAACACTGTACCTCTCCCTTGAGAAAAGAAAAATTATTTTTCTCTTCAAAAACAGGAATACATTCATTTTTCTCACTTTGTAGATCAAGTAATTATACAAATAAACATCTGAAACATTTCCTTTTTAATATATTTATATAATATATATTTATAACAGCTTTACAAATAAAGGCAACGACTTTATACCAAAACAAAAACGGAAAGAAAACATTGTCAATCAAGCATAGTGCATTTTGAGAAGCTGGTGCAGGACTAGCTGGACAAGTCAGGAAAACATGGGCTCTGGATCAAAAATAAAACCTCTTTGATGGAGACAGAATCCTTTTTAGCAATAAGGGCATCCCATATGCTGTTGGGCAAGAGGAATTAGTTTACAGAAAGGGCCCTGCGGCACCCGGGCTTGGTTAGGCCTTTTGGAAGCTAAGCTTGGTTAAAAGGGTTGAGTCTAAAACTGAGTCTAGCTCTGTGTTAAAGGTAGCAATTGGTTATTTAGCTTTATGGACTTTGGGGCGCTGAGGGTATGGGCATCTCTGAGACTTCATTTGGTTCCCTGGACAGCATGTCTTAACCGTGAGACCGTGAAACAGGTGCCAGAGACCTGGGGAAGTTGTTCCCTGGCAGCTCAAAGGGGCCATTTTCAGTTCCTTAGTGAAGCGAATCACTACGAAAGCCCAAGTAGGGAACTACATTCTCTTTATTCATCGGAGGCAGGGGTGGGGAGCAGACCTGCGGAAATCTCCCCAAACCACTACCCTACCGTGTTGTGCCAGTGTCTGCTACCTCACCAGTTTAGCAGAAAGCTAGGTCTGACTGCTCTCTCCTCACAGTCTGGTGAGTCACCTCCTCAATAAAGGGAGAAGGGTGGGGTCCTAACAGCTGGCTCGGAGCTGCGCTCTGGAAAACCCTCTTTTGAAAGTACCTTTTTCTCAAAGCCACAGACCCGACTCCCAAACTCCCAAACTGCACAGTGACTCACAAGACCAAAACTTTGAAAATCCAGCTGATCTATGTCAAAGGGGGCTATTCTCCAGGAAGGGAAAAGCCCCAGCCGGCTACTATCATCCCCGCTATGGCATCTTCCCTATGCCAAAATAAGCTTGCGATGTCCTACACCTACATAAACGCAGGCTCGTGCGCCTACTTGCACGCATGCGCGCGCATCCCCACTCCTTAGATTATCTCTGTACGCACAACGGAACAATCTCGCTGCACTCACAAAAACGTTGGTTTGTGTTTTTGGAAGTAGGAAAGAAGGTAAGCGAAGCAGCAGGATCCCCCTAAAGAGTTTAGTCTTTGGTTTCTAAGTTTAAAGGCGGGATCTGCTTCAGGGCCTGGAGCAAGGCGGAAGAGTCGAGGGACGGATGGGCGGACAAGGGAGAAGGGAGTCTCTGTGGCATAAGCAAGGGAGTGGAGATCTTGTCTGGGTTCATGAAGCTGGTGAGCGCGGCGGTGGAGGCGTTGAGGCCCGGGTACAACACCGGCACTGAGGTTGGGTACCAGCACTTCTCCAGCATGGGCAGGTAGGCAGTTGCTGATGGTGGGATCAGATAGAAAGGCAGGCAAAAGGGAGGCTGGTGCGGGTGTGGGCCCAGGAACGGGTTGCTGATCAGGTCACTGCTAGTGAAGTGGCCTTCGTCATCTGACACCTGCATTCGGCTCTTCTTCGTAGGGGGTTCTTCGGATTCTTGCTTAATGGTGCCGACCCGGTCTCCCACGGTGAACCTGCGTCCATGGTCACTTTTGAAGTACGGCTGCTCATTGCGCAAATCGCCCTTCTCAGATTCTCCCCCGTAGCCACTGTCTGTGTCTGTATCGCTGCCGCTCTGCTCCCCACTTGAGGGAGCAAATGTCCGCTGGATGACTGGTACACAGTTTTTGCCAGGGCCTTCCAAGCCTTTAGCCAGAGAGCTGGCTTTCTCCTTGAAGTCCATCCCTTTGGGAGCTGGGTCTGATGGTTTCCGGGAAGTGCCACCCTGCAGCAGCTCAGAGGCCACACGGTGGAGGTGAGTGACAAGCTGCGAAGACTTCAGGTCCCGAGTGTTCTCATGCTTGGCTAGGTACTGAAGCACTTCCCGGGCACACGTCTGGAAACCTGAGCAGAACATCTCTTGACCTGCTTCCACGTTTCTCCCCAGCTCACCTGAAGAGACAAAGAACCAAAGGAACATGTTTCAGAGGGCTCTGCATCTGGGGCTTTCTGTTGTGTTAAAAAAAAAAAAAGCATTTGCTAATTTTCAATTCATTTCTAACTTCAAATGTAACATGTTCAGAGAAAAAATACACTGAAAAGTTTAAAAAAATAAACATGAACATCTATAACCCTAGCATTGAGAGATTTGGGGGAACAGGGTGCTGAATACTGAATCCAGGGCCTCATAGATTCTAAGCACCTACTCTGCCATTGAGTGACACCCCCAGCCCCCAAATATGACTTTTAATGGCTGCATAATAGAAATGGACCATAATAATAATAATAATAATAATAAATGGACCATAATAGAAGATGGATATTTCTGCTCTTGCTGAATTTGTAGATTATTCCAGAGTTTTTGCTGTGACAGTGTAACAAACATTCTGATATATTTTTAAACCCAAGAGTTGAATGATAGAAAATAAGTCTCACTGGGGCAATATGCACAAGGCCAGACAATCATAAAATAAAGAATGAAATATCATCTAAAGTAAATTTATTTTCAATGATTTATAAAAGGTATATCCTGGGGCTGGGGATGTGGCTCAAGCGGTAGCACGCTCGCCTGGCATGCGTGCGGCCCAGGTTCGATCCTCAGCACCACATACCAACAAAGATGTTGTGTCTGCCGAGAACTAAAAAATAAATATTAAAAATTCTCTCTCTCTCTCTTTAAAAATAAATAAATAAATAAATAAATAAATAAATAAAAGGTATATCCCCACTGTCAACTTTAGGCTATTTCTAAGTCTTTTATGTGTATTCTATCCATGATCCCCCCCCCCCAAATTAGGTCTGATCATCTTCTATTTTTAATGAGGGAGCTGGCAGAAACACTTGCTGGGTTTTTGTGATTCTCATTACACTGGCCACAGAAAGAAATACAGAGAAGAATGGATGTTGGCATGGGTACAGGAATTCTCTCATCTGTACAGTATTATTTGGAAAGAACGAGACTGGAAGGTTAGAAGTATCTCTGATTCTCTGGATGTCAGGAGAAACAAATGACGAAACTTCAGTGGTTTCGTTAGATTGTGCAATTCACTAAGATACCTAGTGGCGATTGAGGGAACCACAAGAAATGCAGGAAAAACTCCTGCTGTCATCCTGCCAGGATTGCACCCCACAACGAAAGAACGAACGGAAGAGCAAATGATAAAGAAACAAAGGAACAGAAAAATGCTGGGGCATACCGGTGATCTATTCTCCAAGGAGAGAGGGCTAAGAAGACCAACTATAAAACACCCACAATGCAAATTATAGGTGTCTTGGCATTTTAAAAGGGAGTAGGGAAATCTCCCAGAACCCAGAGACTCTGAAGCCAAAATGCCACAGCATCGTTTTATCATTTGACTAATACGTATTCATGCCAGGTGGCACCCCGCAGCATTCCAAATGGAAAGTCTGACCTTTTGGAAAGATAAAACAAGTCTCCTTCAGTGAACGTGCACAAGCAATTGGTTGCAGGAATGTTTGCCACATCCCATGTAGAGCCCAGGGGCTCTCTATCTGTGCACAACTCTTTAAGAGATACTAATCAGACTCACCTGCTTGTAAACCACTCTGCAGAGCAATAATTTTCTGCTGCTGCTGATCAATCAGGTTTGTTAGTGCTTTCACATGCTTCAAGGTAAGTTCCAGAACTACTGCTTTTTCCAAGTGACCCAAAGTCTGGAATGAAAAGAGCTTTAGTCAGCGGTGAGGTCACAGAAGTCCCACCTCTGGGACACTTATTAGCAATGAGAAATGTCTATAAAGGGGGAAAAAAGAATAGAATAGTCTTTCCTGGTTGGCTGAATTTCATTTTAACTTTGCAGATAACATTTCTAAATGCACACACACACACACACATACATACATATATATGATAAAAGGATAAAAAACACATATGTCATTTGTCTTTGGAAGCTGCAGCTACCTAAGGAGGAAGCTTTGACAGATAAATTTCTGCAGCAGCCGCTGCTGACCTTAACTCAGGGGAATCCAGAGATAACATTTCTCTGCAGTAGTGTCAACCCATGGAGGGACTTCTACTGTGTCTGCAGCCAAGAGGCTTTCCCAAGTTTTTTTCCTGACACCCTTTCAGAACTTCCAGGTCATCCAGGCTTTTTTCTTCCTCTCCAAATGCTTCCCCACCCCCCCACCCCCTTTCTCTAAAGGCTGCTTAAGCTTTTGGCTACTGTCAAGAAAGGGCAGGAAAAAAAATTGCACACCAAAAACAGGCTCTCTTAATTAAAAGGGGGGGGCTGGGGAATTGGATTAAAAAACCCCTGCACATTCTTAGTTTTTTTCCTTTAAACCAGGAAAACTAGAGAATTCTAAAAATGACCAGAAGGAAAAATCTTAAGCTCCCCAAAAGGAGGCCGGCTGTTGTTGGAGCCAACTTGGAGAGGTCCAAGAGCTTCTCACTCATTTGCATAGGGTCAGAAAATCTCTGGACTGGGGAAGGATACCCCTGCACAGTCACCTGCCAGCTTTGGTCGGGCCATCTAGACTAGTCTGCAATTCCCCGCGACGCCTGCAGGCGGCGGGTGACCCCCCGCCCGCCCTCTGGGCAGAAGAGCTACATTGGACAGAGGCCAGCTTCTCACTTACTGTAAGTTTGAGATGTTCGGGTAGGAGATCCTTCAGCTGGGCGATGCACTCGTTAATCCGGTCACGTCTCTTTTTCTCGATGAGCCGGTGCGGCAGTTTGTAGGTCTCCTGCAAAGCGCACGAAAAGGCGGTGGGCAAGGGGATGCGAAACCTCCCTTCCTCCACACCCCGCCTAAATGAAAAAAGTCTGGTTAAGGAGCAGAGTCGAACCCAGAACCACCTTCTGCCCCTTCTTTTCCAAGTCACTTAAGTAGTGGCACCGAACCCACAGTTTGCATCTCCCCCGCCAACCTCAAAGCAAGAAAACTTTTCTTGGAAACTTAGCGGGCAGCTAGGGACTTCGGCGCGGGGTCCCCAGGGGTGCACTTACCTTGCTGTCCTCGCTCCGCTTTACTCCCCGCCTCGACTTGTACACTTGGTAGATATGGGCAAAATCCATTCTGCAGGGAGAGAGCCAAGAAGGGTCGTGACTTTCCGTGCGCACTGGCTGCAGGCGCCCTGACGGGCGTAGAGTCCCCGGAGGCGCCCGCAGCAGCTGAGTGAAAGGCACAGGACCCAGGGCTGGAGTGGAGGCTTGAAGGGGCCAGAGAATGCAAACTTACCCTGGTAGGTCTCCGTGCTCCAGTCCTGGTGCTTTGGGCAGACAGGCAGGGGGTGGTTGCGCGCTGGGGATCCGCTCCATGGCGCGGCGATCCGGGGCCACTGTGCGCTCCTGTCTGCACTTAGCGGAGCGTCGGGCTGAAGACTGTCCTGAAGCAGGCTTCGAGGGTCTCTCCGCAGAGGTTTCTCTGAGCCTGAGTTCCCTGAAATGCACAGAGCTGCTGCGAGCTGCGGCTTTGAGGTGTTGCTTCAGTTGGGGGCGTGCATGGCCGGGTGTCCTCGCGGCCTCTGGCTCCCGGCTCTGCGCACAGACTGGCGGTGTGTGCTCCCTGCGCTGTCTGCACCGTGCGAGCCAAGTGAATGAGAAGTGGGGCGGGCAGGGAGGCGGGAGGGAACGGGGGGAGCAGTTAGGGCGGAGTGTGTGTGGGGGGACGAGCCGAGGAGTAATGGAGAGGCTGCGGACTGGGTTAAATGGGAGCGAGTGGGTGGGTTGGAGCTACGTGTTCTACCCTGTGACTCCAGGCACGTCTGGCCGCTGCCGGGGAGGGAAGGAGCGACCTGCCCGCCCTCCCCCGGCTACATCACATGAGTCTCACGTGTTGGACAACGCTCTGGCTGGCTGCGAGGGAGCCCCCACCCCCAGCCCTGGCCCCCAGGTGTCTGCGGCTGCGGCCTCCTTTCCCCGAAGAGGGGGTGGCAGCGCAGCCTGGGTCCTGCCCAGCTGGGTGGGGGGCGCTGAAGCTGGAAGAAACCGGGGAGCTGGGGGAGGGGGAGAGTTGGTAACGTGGGCGAACCTGCCCCAGGGAAATGAAGTAAGTTCCCGTCTCCTGGGAGGGAACGGGGGAGGACGGATCCGCCCGCGTCTGACTCAAGCCGGGAGAGGAATATCCCCTCGCTTGCTTCAGCCCAACCCTCTTCCTCCTCCCCCGCCCAGCCCGCTCGGAGGAACCGGCGCACAGCGGAGGGAGTCGCCCGGCCCCTCTGCCATCCCCAGAGGCTGGGGTTTCTTTCCGTCCCGGCTTCCCTGCCCCCACCGCTCAGCCCCGTGTCCAGGAATTGCCCGCCTTGGGGAGGGACCGAGGGGCGGGGCGGATGTCACCCCATGGGAAGCGGGCTGGCGGCCAAGCGCAGGGGCAGCCGAGGCCGCCGCCTAGCACGCCGCGCGCACCTGACCGCCGAGGGTGTGAGCCACGGGCCCTTTGCTCCCCTGGAGCTCAGCTCCTGGGCACAGCCTGCGGGCAGACAGGCACCCACTTGTGCACCCCCCCCCCCGGGGGGTGCCCCTCTGCCCCTACCCACCCTGGCCAGTCAAGCACAGAAAGATACCGGGCGCTGTGCCTAGCGTTCCCTCCCTCTCTCTGCCCCCTCTGAAGCAGAGGCGTCCGGGTCGCCTCCCCTCCGGCTGCAGCGTTACACAACCGCGGCGGCGGCGCCTGCCCTGCAGCAGCGCGGGGCGTGACTCTTCACGTGGCCAGTCTTGGGCCGCAGTGCCACGGACTGGGAGCCCCACCGCGCTGGCCCGAGCTGAGACCCCAGGAAGGTGGCGTGCCAGCCGAGGTCAGTCGTCATTCTGCTGCCACGAACTTCGGTGGCGCTGTTTTTCGGTCTGTTGCGGAAGGGAAGAAAGAAGGGAAGAGAAAAACAAGCAGGAAGAAAACTCTCCACCTATCACAGTGAAATCTTCGCATTCATTCAGTCGACACTTTTATTGGGTCCCTTACCCCGTGTTAGGCGTAGTGCCCGGTGGATCAAACAGGGATCCTGTCCTTGAACTTACAGAAACCCCAGGGAAGGATAGATAGGACAATGAGGAGAAGGCAGCCCTGGGAAAAAATACATAAGGGCCCCTGGCTAGCAGGAAATAAAAAGAGGAAAAGGTGCTTTTTGTCGTTTTGTTTTTAATTGACATTTACCAAAGTGCTTAGGTACAAGGGGGAGCAGTTAACCCAGAACTTGGGGCAAAAAGACCTCCTCTAGAGGCCCCAGGTCTCTAAGATCTCACTTAGGCCTCCGGAGGCCTCTACCTACCTTCCCAGGAAAAGTCCGGTCTTTGTGACTTGGAGCAGAGAAAACAGCTGAAACTCCAATCCTGCGATGTGAGCAGCTTTGATACTGTCAGAGGAGGGAGCCAGTGGAAATTCATGACTAAAATAAGGCCTGGCTGGGGATTTCACTGACCTCTGCGCTCTCCTGCCCTGCGAGTTCGGGGAGTTGAGAGATGACTGTAAACCTTTCCCACTACGCTTCGCTTCGGGTCAGTCACCCCGTTGCTGAGTGACCTGGCTGTGGGAAACATTGGGAGAAAAATGAGGTCATTGCTGGGACTGGGCGAGGACTGGCATCGGGCGCACTTTGCTGGGGATCAGTCTTAATTGACAGTGTCTTTGACAACGTGGAGAATTGGGATTCACAGGTTTACCAAACAGGGAGTGTGTTTCCTTCAGATCACTTTGGAGAGCTTCCACTTCCTGTTTATGTTTCACAAGCGTCAAACCCATTAGCAAGTGTGAAATGTGCCTCAATTTCTAACTGCTAACTGGGGTGACCTCACTTCGGGGCTTAGAGATCCTTCCCTCCCTAGAGCCGACTTTTGCTGGCTTGTTATCAGCCATCTCTCTGGAGGAAATAAATGTGTCCCACCTTCGTCCTGCCAGGTGGGCAGTAAGACCAGAGGCAGAGAGGGGACTGGAGTCCACCCTGGGTATGTGCTTCAGCCTGGGGTAACCTGCTCTATTGCACGACTTTAATAAACATGAGGAGTTGTCATGACTGCGTCAAAACCGAAGTTCTGCTACGAAATAAGCTGTGGAAGAGAAAAGGATTTATGTCCCCCTCTGCTGTCACCCCCCCATGCCACCATTTCTGCTTGAGTGACTCATGACAGTATCATTCTGAAGTCTTTGAATTTATCAAGACGTTTTGCTCTCACTTGTTTTGCATCTGTAAATAATAAAACACGGCATTTCCTACTTTTTATTCGTTCTAAATATACTCTCAAGTTTCAAGAACTATCCCCATCCTACCATGTCCTGATTTCTTCTTATTTTAAAAATCTGTTCTTCTCTCTATAGTTTACTGCTTTTTAAAAAAATTAAACAACATAATTCCTTCCCAGCGAGTATCTTTCCATCTGAAGAATCTCACTATTTCAGTATATAATCTTTTATAGATACTTTAGGGTTTACCACGTGCTAGTTTTTAGATTGCGTGCATGCTAAAATCCTTGTGCATGATAATTTATTCATTCCTTATCACCACTTTATGTGGTTGGTACTAGTATTAGCTCAGTTCACTTAACATATATATTTATTGAGAGCCACTTTGCCTCAGGCACTGAACTAGGTCCTAGTGGTATGTAACTCATACCCTTTGGAAAATTGAGGCTCAGGGAGGTTAAATAGTGTGCCCCAGATTGCATAATCTGGGATAAGACCTCAGGTTTGTTGGACTTCAAAGTTTGTGCTATTAATCGCTATACTTCTGGCTGTCTTGTAGGGCTATATGGGTTGTGTAGTGCTCAACTCCAGAGAGAGCTGTTCATACTGCAGTCCACGAGAGAGACCCTCTGGAGTGGTGTAACTGAGCACCTGCCCTTGGTTATCTTACCATTTTGCAGCCCTCCCTGATGTTTTATTTCTTCCAAGTACGGAAAAAATGTAATTTTCTATAAGGGAAGCATGAGTATTTCTCTTTTTCTTCCCAGTGGGGATCAGCATGTTGGTGGTCTGATGTTGTATATTAGTAAGAGTCTATGTTGTTGCTGTCTGCGGTAACTCCTGGGTCTTCCCCACACAGGTTGGAGTTCATGATCCCCTCACAGTATGTACACCTCACTTGCTCAGATTTTGCTCACTTTTTGCCAGTTTATGGAGCCTCTGATTTTTAAAATGACAGATCATAGTAAGAAATACAGTGTATTATGACATGTGTGTGTCAGCCTGCCTTATGCATAGAGCAGCCAAGACTTAGTTGGGCTATAGCAATAAGCTACCATGACCCTCATACCAGCAGTCCTAAATAACCATTACTCACTTAAAAATGTTTTTAAACCACTTAGGAAAAAAACAGTCCAAAGCATTCCAGACAAAAAGCTTACAAACAATACTTCCCCTTGGCATATGCATTCATATATTTTTCTAATCTAATCTATTTTATTAAGAGAACGATATTCTGGTCTTGATGTGCAAAGTTGATTTCACAACCTTCCAATCCAATAGATCCCGACTTGCAGTTTGAAAATTTGCTCTTCAATAGGGATTGAGTTCTCATTTTTTGCCCCCACAAGCAAGAGATGAGTAGTGTCTGCACATTTGAACATCTTCTAAACCACTCAGAAAAAATGTTAAGTGAGCCCTGGGTGGATTCAAGGATGTAGATGTCTCTGTCTAGGAAAGCATCTGTAAATTCCTATCATTTGTTCTATATATAGAATCAACCTCCTCATTCTTTGCTCCTTAAACAAAACAAACTCTATGTTTACTTTATTGAGAGATAAACGTCCAGTAAAATACAAGATCTTATATGTAGGGTTCATGAATTTTGGTCAATGTGTGTATCTTCACAGACATTTCCTGTTAAAGTGTGGATCTTAAGTGGTTACCTGCTAAAGGCTTGATCACCGGCCCCTGGGGCTATTGGGAGGTGTGGTACCCTTCAGAGGCGGGGTCCAGTGAATGGAAGTTAGGTAATTGGGGGCGTGCCCTTGATAGACATATTAGTGAGGATCCCTACTCTTCAGCTCAGCTTACTCCAGGCTCCCTGCCATGATGTTTTTCCTCATCACAGGCCCAAAGCAAGGGGCCTGCCAATCATGGCCTGGAACCCCTGAGTTCGTAAGCCAAAATAAATCTTTCTTCCCCGTTCATTTATTATAGTACCAGGAATGTTCTACCCCTTAGTGACATATCCAGACCATTTAGTTTTTTTTTTTTTTTAAAGAAAGAGGGGAGAGAGAGAGAATTTTTAATATTTATCTTTTAGTTCTCGGCGGGCACAACATCTTTGTTGGTATGTGGTGCTGGGGATCGAACCCAGGCCACACGCATGCTAGGCAAGCGCGCTACCGCTTGAGCCACATCCCCAGCCCAGCCTTATGCTTTTCCAGAAGACGATGTCTTCCTGGCTTTTTAAGTTCACAATATGCGACCCAATAAAATTGTGTCTCTTCTACTCATTCTACTCCCATAAATAATTTCCTCTTACCCAAGTCTTGCTTCAAAATGTTGGTCTTCATTTTATTCTCTCCTTTCAGCATTTTTGAT